GGGACTATACAAGGCAGCACGGATGTGGTTACCTATTTAAGGTCTCATGGCTAGTTAACAGTGTATCCAGGACTTAAACACATGCTCTGAATCAGAGTCACCATGACCCATAGGGTGTATGGCTATATGGAAAAGGCAGAAGGTGAAAGAGATGGACAGAAGGAGGGAGGGAAGGTAGAAGGATGGTTGGTTGGCTGGTTGGATGGGTGGATGATCACTGGTGCAGAGGTAATTGGAAGAAAGGAAAAACAGGAAGAAAAGAGGAAAGATAGATTATGAAAAGATCGATAGAGGGTGGGTGTGCTAGGTACAGAAGAATGATTTGTATGTTGATGGATGGTATTCAGGGAGAGGTGGGAGAAGCAAGGGAAACCAGGAGGGAAGGTGGGAGAGAACGAAAGTAGATAGATGGTGGAAAGACAAAAATATATGGATGGATTCATGATGAAAAAATGGGTGTGTGAACAAGTAGCTTGACAAATGAATGAAATCAAGGATACAGTGAGGCTGGATGGATGTATCACAAATTAATGAATTCAGCATGTGGAGTGGAAGTTGGGGGGAAAAGAAAAGGAAAAAATATTGTAGCTACATGGATGTAACTATAGTTGTATAAATGGATGGATGAGAAGAGAAGGAAAATACAAAAAGATAATGGGTGGATTACATTCATGGGTGGGAGGAGTTGAAAGGTAAAGGGTGAACATGAGTATGAAGAAAGGCACTTGGTGGATGGATGGATGGATGGATGGACAGATGGATGGGTGGGTGGATGGACCGACAGATGTGGCTCACCCAGAGGGGCAAAGGGAAGGATGGAGCAGGATGACTTGAAATAGAAGTATTCATGCATTGGACCCAAAATGGGTGGATGATAGAACATATTGATGAAGGGCTGGTAAGGAAAGTAGGAAAGTCATTGGGAGAATGATGCTAAAGGGATAGCTCGGTAGATTTATGTACAAGGTAGGTGGGGGTAGAACAGGAGAGCAGGAGAGGGAGGAAGACACCAGAGTGGACAAATAGAAGGCTATTTAGAGAATTGAAGTGAATGAAGGAGGACGGTCTCATAGTACTTAGTCACAGGGAAATGTTCTGAGAAACGCATCATTAGGTGACTTCATCATTGTGCTAACATTACAGAGTGCACTCACACACACTAAAATGGCTATGGCATCACTAGCTGATGTAATCTTTATGGGACTGCCATTGTACGTGTGGTCCTCTGTTGACTGAAACATCATGGGACCATATAAGAGTGGGATGGAGGGTGGATAGAGGGATGGATGCATAGATGGGTGGTGGGTGGATGGATGATGTTGCCACTCAGAAAGGGGGAGTGGAAGTTATGCATATACAAAAATCAACAGAGCATCCTCCCTCTGAATCTATTCCATCTCATTTCTCAGTCACTGAGGAGCCTCCCAGCCTCCTGGGCTGAAATTAAGTAGCTGTTACCTCCTGGCTGCATCTACTGTCCTTCATCTTCGCCTTTGCTCAGGTCTCATGATATCCCACCTGGACCTCCACACTGGCAACCTAACTGCCTTTAGGCTTTTCTTGTCCCCTTCCTCCACACTGCTGCGGATGTTACAGCATGATCCCATCATCCTCTTCAGTCTTCTACATGGTGGAATCCAGAGCCTTCACTACAGAGCTTCTGCCTGCCTATTCAGGGCTATCTTCTGCTCCCTACAGAGGGCAGAGGTCTTGCTGATCCCCAAAGCCCCAACCTCCACATCATTCTCTCTGGAATGCCTTTCCCCTCACCCATCCTTTAAGGCCCAGTGAAATGCAGCCTCCTCCCAGAGGTCTCCTGCCCCCGAGCCTCATTTATCCCCAAGCTCAGAGTGAAGTATTTCTTTTCTGAAGCACTGGGGACCTTTATGCCATCTTGCCATATGTCCTCTGTCCATCTACCCATTTAACCAACATTCTTTGACTCCTATGTTAGTCAGCCCTGCTTTGGATGCTGATGTCACCAAAATGAAAGGCTGGCTGGGATGGGAGTAGGCAGATGCGGTCAGGGCAGGGGTGTTCTGGGGTTTGTGCAGAAGAAAGACCTGGACCTCACAAATTCTCCAAGCTGAGGGAAGAACACATGCAAACCCACATATGAACATCACTTATGGTGCTTCCAGAATGACACATGTAGGAGGGTGTTTGATAGGGTCAGGAAAGGGGATGCAAAGGAGTACTGAGACACCTCAAACAAGATGAAAGTCTGGATACTATCCAGTCAACAAGGGAGAGCCATGGTCATTATGAGGCAGTGTGTAGAGAATACATGAATGGAAAATTGATTTTCGTATCTTGCCCTTCCCAAAGGGCTAAGCAAAGTAAAGCGCCAATCTCTGACGCAGGCCTAGTCTGCATGGAGTGGTGCTGGCCCAGTTGGTCGAGGGCTGGGGGTGGCTGATGGGCAGATGGAAAGACAGGGGAAGGCAGAGATGCAGCACTCATTTCACAGCTGCTTGCTTGCCAGTTCCTGCCCTGTTCACGTGTGCTGGCTCGAATGGTGTTTTGTTTTGGTTTGTTTTGTGACCCTATGAGGGAACAGGGGCTCAGTGAGGCAGGTGAGATGGCTACATCTCTACAGCTGGGATTGCAGCCAAAACCTCCTGACCCCATGTCCACCCCCTGCCCTTGGAAGTGTCCATGACAGGCTGCATACACTATGGGTGCAGCAGGTCAGAAGACATACAGCCACTGGGCAGGTGGACAAGTCTCAGGCTCAGAGCCGGAACTGGCTGCTCTGTGCTCCCCTCTATCCGGAGGCAGGCAGCTCCCCTTGCACCACACCCCTGGGGAGGCCCCAGAGCCTTCCAGGCCTCGCTGCCTCCCAGGAAGGGGCAGCCCCAGAGGGAAGTGTGTAAGCCCTCCTTGACCCCAAAGCACCAACCTCAGGCCACCCCCACTGTAGCACAAACCCAGTACCATCCAGAAATGCCTGACCTACCTACAACCCACACCAGATGGGACTGCCCCATGCCAGAAGCCAGCCAGCACAGGCTGAGCCAGGGGAGGAGGGGAGGGCTTCCGGACAGAAGCCCAGGCAGCCAGATCATGTCCACAGGCTACCAGGCGTGCAGGGCAAGAGGGCACCAGGGAGGCTGAGCTCTATCAGCTGCAGCCACAGTTGTCCCAAGAAGCATATCCTCTCTTCAGTACTGGTCTGGGGAGTGGAACAGAGCCGAGCTGAGGACTAGCACCAGATCCCAGGGACTTTCACTTGCTACCCTGTAGTGCATGCACACAGTCATGTATGTGTACCTCCTCCACATTCACACTCACATAAACCTACACTGGCATTTGCAAGCACACTCATATGCGTTCACTCACACATATGCACACAAACATGTATGCACATGTGCAAATACACATACACATGCAATCCTATGCTCTTCACACATGTACACATATTTTCACATACACTCATGCACGTCACACACATGCACAATACATGCACACATACATACATTGAATTATACTCATGCTCCCTCACATACTCACACATTTACACTCACACCTATATAGATACACATTATACTTACATGCACACCCATGCAATATACTCACATATACCCATGCTCATAGGCACACACACATTCACATATACACAGCGAGTCAAATGTACATGCATGTACACACGTGCATATGCAATCACACATTCACATGCACATGATCACACATGCATATTCACACACACAGAGATTCCAAGTAGTGGAGCCAGAGCTAGGTACACAGGCCTGAAGATGAAGGTGCTAGTGACAGTGTTGGTGGTGGCACCAGGGCTGAGTCAGGAGGCGGATGGAGGCCAGGTGGCCAGTGTGTGATGCAGGGCAGGGTGGGGCTCACACTCAAAGGTGATCAGAGGGCGCTGTCCCAGTGTCCTTCCTTCCTCCCAGGTCAGCCTGGCCTGAGCTGTCTCCCTACAGCCCTGCTCCCCTCCACCTCTGCCACCCCCACCACTGTGGGCAGCTTCAGTCCGTAGACTGCATCTGGCTTGGGCCATTCAAGTGGGGGCTTGAGAAGGAATGACCTGACTCATTGTGAACCAAGCCCTCCCTTCTGTTTATCCATCTACCTATCCCCCCTCACTCCTTCCCTCATGCTTCCCTCCCTCCCTACTTCTCTCTTCCTTCTGGAGTGGGAGGATGGGTGGAGAGCTGAGCCCTGCAATAGCCCAGAGCTGTTCAGTTCCTGCAGGGGATACAGGGGCTGTCCCTGTGTCTATTATCATCTCCCTGATACTTGTGGTCAGTTCTCTCACTCTGCCCTCAGGGGGCTGTGGCTCCATTACCTACCACCCTGCTCTGCTCCAAACCAATTCTTTGCAGTATCAAGGGGCTCTGGAAACTCTGCTCACTCTGGGTGAGGAGTGTGAGGGGGAGTGTTGGGAGAGACTTCCCCGTTCTTGGTCTGGGCTGCTCTGGTCACTAGGTACTGTCCCTCCACCAAGTGCCAGGCGGGGAATGCATAGTGCCTGACATCAGGCACTATGTCTGTAAGGGTTCTGTAAGGGGGTCTGTAAGGGTTCTGACCTCACCACTCCTCTCTCAATAGACACAGGACTGCAAGCCCTTTTCAGAGTTTCATGCCAGCTCTGTCCCCATTTGCCAAGGGGTAGCTACCAGCCAGGTTGAACTCTCACATGACAGGTCAAATTCCCACATCCCCTTACCAAAGAGCAGGGCTCTGAGTTCCGAGTCCCCACTCCCCATAGCTTGGCTAAACTGGCTGTGCTGAGCTGGCCCTGAAGAAGCCAGCCCCCATCAAGAAGCTTTTTCAGCTCAGCCTCTTGCTGCTGGCCCAGACCTAGCCAACACTCATCTCTGCACCTACCAGCACGTCCCCTTGCGCTTCTCGTATCCCTTGCCCCTTGCTTGCATCTGTTCTGCTAGTGGGCTCCTCTGGCAGGGAGGGCCAGAGCAACATAGCCAGGGCTCATCCTACCAGCACCTGCCCCAGTCACCCCCATCCCTGCCGCCCCTGCTCACTTTGAGGGAGTAGGCCAATGCGATAAAGCCCAGGCAGCAGAAGTTGAGGTAGACGAAGTTGAAGATGGACCACAGGTAGTAGTCGTTCACCTCAGTAGTGTCCGGGTAGACCTCGATGACTGTTGTGGGGTTTGTCATGGTCTTCTTCTCGGCTAAGTGCTTGCAGGCCTGGGGGGCACCGGCTGCCCGCACGCTGTCGGTCTTGCTGCTCTTGGACTCCATGGGGAACAGAGTGGGAGCCATGGGGGGTGAGGCCGAGGCCTCAGGGGCAGAGGCCGCTGCAGCCTGCAAGGCAGGGGGTTTGGACACACAGGCAAAGCAGCCCTTGGGTGAACCTGCTGGGGGCCTCGGGATCCAGAAGGCCCCGTCCAGGGGGACACGGGCTTCCTGGGCGCCGTCCGTGGTGCTGGCCGGGGCTCCCAGCGGGGCTGGGCACAGGCCGTGGCCCTGGGCCTGGAGCGGGGAAGAGAATAAGGAGAAGCCGGGCCTTCCCCGTCCCTCCGTGCCCAGCCTCAAGGCTGCAGCACCGCTCCCCCACAGCCCCATCCAGAGCCCCTAGCGGAGATGAAGATCCCTGAGAGGCCGCCAGCTGCTGTCTGCCACCTGCCTCCCCCACCCACTGGCCACTGCCGATGCCAAAGCCCTCCGCAGCGGCCTTGGCAGGCACATCTCGGCTTTTCATCACTTTGCCATCTGCGCACAAACACCCACTGACACACACACAACAGCACCCCAAATGCACCCCCAACAGCGCTCCCACGGACACACTGTTGCAATACACAGAGCTCCCTGGCACCCCAAACACCCCAGCACGCAGACCTACAAATACACTCCCCAAGGGCCGCCTGGCAGCTTCTGAAGCCCGTGCGCACAGAGAGGCAGACGGCAAACAGCAGCACCACTAGACTGGCTCCCCAGCCCCAGCACACCCGGGCTGACACCGCCAGGTAAACAACTGCCCACTGTGCTATGCACTGGACACGGACAGCGACGCAGGCTCAGACAGTCGCCAGAGGGAGGATAAACACAAGTGCAAGGCACCAAACTCTCGAGCATCGCCCCCACCCCCAGCCCCAGCCGAAACCGCTCTCTGGGACCCCAAGCACGCACTCTCGCACGCACGAAGCTACCCACCCCCGAAACAGACGCACAATGACTTGACGCTGAAACGAACACTTCTCCAAAGAGGCACCCAGGCGCCCGCGCTCCGCGTGCGGCGCTCAGGGGTCTGCACCAGGCTCCGACGCCCCCGCCAGCCCCGGGACTGCTGCAGCCGGGACTGTGCGTCCTCACCTACTGGAGACTGCCGCGGGCGGGCCAGACCCTTGCGCCTCCGTGCGCGCGTCCTTCCGCCGTCCCGGGCCGGTGTTTGTTCGCCGATCCGCGTCCCGGCGGCCCAACCTTGGAGGCGGGGAGCGCGCGGTGCTCTCCGCGCCGCTGCCTCCCCCGTTGCCCGCTCCCGCTCCGCAGCGCCAGGCCGGCCGCGGCTGCAGCCAGTGCCTGACTCACGGAGGCGGCGGTGGCGGCAGCGCTGGTGGCGGCGGTGGCGGCGGCGGCGCAGACACCTCCGCCTCCTCCGCCAGGAGGGCGGGAGCCTCCGGGCCGGCCGGAAGCCGCGACCCCAGGGAGTCGAAGGCCGGGCAGGCATGGGACCGTTGCCATCCCAGCGCTGTGCCACTTCCATCTACCCGAACCACCTAGCCTGTCAGCCCAGCCCACCCTGCTCCCACTCTCCGGCGTAGTGCCCTGCCCGATAGGAGCGGGTCTCCGGAGCCGTCCCCACCTCCCTTCCCAGGGGAGACACCCTCCCTCTTGCTCTTCTCCCTTTCCAAGAACTGCTGTCTTTAGCGCCCCCCGCCCACCACCTCTGGGCCTGTTGAGTTCCACCTGCCATTTCTTCCCTCTGGCAGAGTCCTTGTCCCTGCCGGTGAGATCCCAGTGCTAGTGCAGTGGAAACCTCACCCCCGCCCCCCAAGTCCATGGAGCCCCTCACATCCCAGTCTTGGTGCAGTCTGAGCCTCACAAAGCCCCCACTGGCCCATGGAGCTCCTGAGCCTGTCCCCTCTCTATATCCTGTCCTGACCCAGCTCCCAGACAAGCCTGTCCCCTACCTCAACTCCTGTCCCTCTGCAGCCCCTGTCCCTAACCAAGCCCCTCTCTGGAGTCTCTGGCCCCTCAAAATCCCCAAACTCCTCCATCACAGTTCCAGAGTGGTGTGTACTTCATGAAACCCCCACCCAGGCACTCATTTTTGCTGTCCTGTCTGACAAGTCCCCAGCCCCTCAGGCCACCCTCCAAACCCTTCCCTGCTGAGTCTACCCAGGACCTTCGCTAATCTTCAGTCTCCCCCTCAGCTCAGCCCTGCTGGAGGTCCTACCCACCTGTCCGAATCTGACCCCCACACCTAGCCCACTGTCGCTAATCCAGTTAATTCACAAAGTTGGTCTTGGACCCTGTGGCCCTTCGCAAGTCAGCCTGTGCCTCACAGGTGCACAGGCAACTGCTCTCTGCCCTCAGAGCCAATGTCCTGCTCCAAAGCCCGGTCCCTTACTGCTACCCTCAACACTGGTAACCTTGGAGCTCGTCCACACACCTGCCAGGGCCACTCTGTGAGCCTCCATCCCACCTGGGCCCCAGCCCTGAGGGTGCTCTATCCCACACCTCAGTTCCCGTAAACAGTGCCGACCTCTTAGCTGGACGTTGCCCTCCTACATTCTCATGCTCTTGGGAACACTTATTCTCAACTGAGCCCCCAGCAGAAAAGTCCTGATGAGCCCCCTCCCCTTGGAGAGAACTCCAGCCCTCCCTCCCTCGATGTCCCTCACTGTACCATACAGTTGCTGACTGATCTGGCTCCTCTTCACCGGTCTGGTAGCCCTACGGGGCCCAGACCCTGCTCCTAAGCCCCCTGAAGCTACGCTAATGCCCTCCTCCTCGTCTAGCCTGTCCTCCTGTCCAAGGCCCCATCCTTCCTCCTGCGAAGCCCTCTTCGGGAGCCCTCTCGGTTTGCCTCCAGCGTCTCCAGGACCCTCCTTCATTCCCTTCTCCTAGCCTCTCTCAGGAGCCCATGCCCAAGTGAGTGCTCACCAGGCCCTGCCTCTCTGAACCCTTTCTCTCCGGAACCTCAGGGCTCTCTCGGCCCAGAGCCCTTGTCTGAACCCTTGTAGTATGGGAAGCCCCGCCCCCTCGGAAGGCCCGCCCCTTCCAGTGCAGGCCCCGCCTCCTCTCCCAGGCAGATCCCCCTGGCTCAGCCTTCACCTGGCATAGGAAACCTGCAGCTTGAAGTGATCTTAAATGATGTTGATATCACCCTGTGTGGGAAGAATTCCCAAACTCAAGGAGTCCTCCCTCCTTCCCTTCTTGGAAGTCCAGGCCGTTCCCTTCATGGAGCCCAGCCTCAGTGCACAGGCCCAGCGGCCCATGGGTAGACGGGCCTCCAGCAGGGAACCAGAGCCTGGTAGGGTACCAGGCTATCTGCCTTTACCTATCTCTACTTCCCCATCCCCAAGGGCCTGGCACGAGGGAACCCAGACCCAGCATGCAGATGTGCTGAGGGCTAGGCCTCACTTTGGTGTCCTCTGCACCCTTCGTTTTTTTTTTTTTGTGACAGGGTCTCGTTATTCAGTTCAGACTGGCCTTGAGCTCATTTTGTAGCTCAGGCTGGCCTCGAACTCGCAGTGATCCTCCTGCCTCCACCTCCCGAGTGCTGGGATTACAGGCGTGAGCCACCACGCCCAGCCCAGCCACCACGCCCAGCCCTCTCTGCACCCCTTGTGTGGGTGCATGCTATGCCATCCTGTCTCCTCGGGGCAGGCACCCTCTTGAGGCCCTCTCTGCCACACAGCCTTGTCTCACGCTGCCCTGGACACCAGCAGGATAGTCAGGGTGGCCAAGTCTGCACATCTCAGGGAGCAAGAGAGATGCCTAGGCTTCAGGACAAGGCTGCTCAAGGTCACTAGCAAGGGCAGTTAGGGCCCTGTCTCAGCACCCCACCTTAGGGGCTTGTCTCCAAGGCCTCATAAGCCTCCACTCTGATATGGTGGGTGAAGGGGCTGGCCTTGGGTAGGCACCTCCCGTAGATTCTCCATGGCAGGAATCTCCCACCCAGAGGGAGAAAAATGGGGTAATAGGGGCCACTGTTCAGCCAACTTGAGGGCCCCCACAGCATGCCATACAGTGGGGCCTGTTATTCCCCAGAGGCAGGGAGGCTTGGGGTGGGTCACCCAGCCAGAAAACCTCTGAGGCTGGACTTACACCTGGAATCAGACTCCAGGGTCCTAAGAATCCTCACTGGCTGGCTGGGCAGCTGAGCCATGCGCAAGCCCGGGCAGGGCAGGTGGGAGGGGCATTGCAGGGCGGGGGAGGAGAAGCTGCCTTCCGGCCTTGGTGCACAAAGTGCCTGACGACACTGGTCTCCAGAAACCCTGCCAGGCCCTGCGGAGCTCTCTCCAGCTCCCTGCTCATATTTCAGGCGCAGAGAACACTGGGCACATGTGCACTGGCCTCCTGGCAACTCTGGGTGTTCTGCAGAGGAGCCTGCTGGGGCTTGGCCTTGGGGTGCAGGACTCAGAGCTCCAGGCTAGGAAACCAGTAACCACCACCATCTGGCAGGCTGAGGTGGTGACAGAATGACAAAGGTCACACTTACACTGTCTCCTATACTTGCTGGGATTGAGACCCCAGGCAAGACTCCAGAGCCACTGAACCCAAAGGAAACCCTGGCCCTGCCACCAAGTGTTCACGAACTCCTACTCAGCCCTAAAAACCTGTTAGCTGTTGCCTCTGCTGCATGGAGACACATGCTCCTGATCTCTTCCCCCTCCCAACAAGCAGCCAGCCTGCACTTGGGTCTGTAGCAGCTGAAACCGGGGCGTTCTGATGCTGGTCCCCAGGCAGATCTGCTCTATAACACTGGCTTGGTTCACAGACACAGGCTGCTCCCAGAGCTGGAGAAGGAGGCCCAGTTAGGAGGCAGGTTGGCCACACCACCCAGCCCATGCAAAGGCCTCGTCCCTGTGCCTGAGGTGGGTGTGGAGTGGTGCTGGAGGTCCCACTCGTGTCCTAGTACTATTCTGTTTCTTCAGGACAGAAATACTCTCTGGAAAAGCATAGCAGATACCTGCCTGAGCACAACTCCCTGAGAATTCTTTGTGCCTTAATGTAGTGGCTCACATCAGAACAGATATGCCAGGCCCCATTCCCCCAGCCTCAAGCCAAGGCCATATCCACTTGTCACTGTTCCAGGACTCGGAACAAGCCAGCTCTTGCCAGCCATGTATTGGCCACAAGGTTGAACAGCAAGCCACAGAAGGCTTTGGGGTCCTAAGTAGGATGGCCCACGTCAGAGAGCCAGGCTTGGGCATCCCAGGGGCTTCCCGTGCCCGGCCCTGAGTTAGCTTTCCCAATCAGCACAAATAACATGGACACAGAAATAGAGGCCCAAACAACTGTATTTTCATTTCACATCACTGTGACTCTCAGTTCCCCAGGGGAAGAGGAGCAGAGGTCAGCCAGAGAGGAAGGTTCGTGCTAGCCCCCAGCCATTCTGCCCCCACCCAGGCCAATGTGTGCCCATTCAAACCCCTGGATGACCCTGCAGCCTACTAGGCCGGCTTTAGTCCACATGCTCCTTATGACCTCTGGGGCCTCTGCAGTGGCTGGGGCATACAGATGGGTGCAAGTGGTAGAGCCTGGTGGGGCCGAGGATGGGCAGACAGACCTCAGGTGGGCCAGTTTCCAGGGGAGGAGTCTGTTGCAAGGCGGGGGCCCCTGGGATGCAAACTGGGCCGTCACCAAGCCCGTGCTGGGTCTTCCGAGTGAAACAGATCCGTGCACTGGACCAGTCTCCATTGTCTCAATAGACCGGCAGTGCTTCTGAGTCCAGGGAGGGAAACCACCGAACAGTGACAGGCCCAGGGCCTCCAGAGCCATGTGGCGAGTGTGTAAGTGTGCAAGTGTGAGTGGGGAAGGGGCTGGAGGGCTGGGGGCTGGGCAGCCTCCTACTGGACTCCGGGCCTTTTTTCCACCACTGGACAGAAGAGAGCTAGAGCTTGGCAGCCTTGGCGAAGCCCACCCTGTTGTTGTCTCTGTCAAAGACGGTGTAGTAGCGGCCAATAAAGACGTCACCCAGGATCCAGAGAGGCCCGCTGGGCGGAGGGATGTCCATGCCCATGAAGCCGCTCAGGCAGATGGTCTTCCCACCTTGTGACACCTGTAGGATCACGGTGGTCATCACAGGGCCTGTCCACCCCGTCTCCAACCCGCAGTACTCCGCCCACACCCACTTACCTTGAGAACATAGTCCTCTGCGCTCAGGGTGTAGTCACTGCCTCCAAGCTTCAGGGTGACTGAGGGCAGGCTGGACACCTTCTCACAGGGGATCATATACTGCAAGAACAGAGGAGCGTCTGGATGCAGTGCCAGCAGCCCTCTGCCACCCACTGGCCCACCAGCCCTCCTGCCACACTCACTTCGCCCTGGATCAGTGGCACAGCCCCAATGGCCTTCTGCAGCTCCTTCACTTCATCCACAGGGCCCACGAGGAGAGAGGTGCCCGTGTCCACGATAGCCTCACAGCCCCCCTTGCACAAATTCAGCCCGTTGCCCACCTCCAACCTGGGGGCGGAAGAGCATGAGTTCCTGCACTGGGCCCCAGGGCAGAGAGGTACTTGGGATAACAGGGGGTGTAGGGTAATGGCCTGGCCCCAGCTATAGCCCCTGCTCAACCCCAAAGCCACGGGCTAGTAGGTGCTGTAGTCTAGGTAGGCCAAGAGAGGGGCTGGCCACACTGCCCCAGGGGTCCCATGTGCCACCCTTGCCCCAGAAGTATTCCAACTCACTGGTCCATGTGGACCTGCCAGTAGGCCTTGCGGGTGACATTCAGGTAGGTGAAGGAGCCCGTGTAGTACTTGCTGTCAATGCCGCCCAGCATTAGCTCCCCGCCAGGTTGCGCAGTCGGATCCCTGGAGGAAAAGGCAGGAAGCAGTCCTCATCTCACCCCAGGGCAGGTAACCCCTGAGCAGCCACCAGAGAACTGGGTGGGCCAGGGAGGGAGGCAGGAGATGGGCTTCCGAAGGAAGATGACTCAGAGACAGAAAGCAGCACTTCTTCCTGGGGAGGGAATCCAATCCCAGACCCTATATAGCCTGCTCCCAGTAGGAGAGAGCTGGCTGGAGCTCTGAGGACCTGAGGCTTAGCCATGGGTGGTCAGATGAATGCTGCAGGGCAGATAGGGAAGCGTCAGGAGGCCAGGGAGGGCAGACTCTTTTCTGCCCAGGAAAAAACCAAGGGAGGCTTCAAGGAGGAGGCAAGGAAGGGCAGAACTCTGGGAAATTGAGGAGTGCCTTGTTCCTACTCTAGAGCTTTTGTACTTGTTGTTCCAGAAACAACCTATACCCACACCCTTGTGAGCTCCTCTGAATCTGTTTCTCTCACCTCCAGCTCTAGTCTCTTACCTAGACTCTTACTCACAGCCAGCCAAGGTACCCTTCAGCGGAATGTGGGCTACTTGCTTCCGGCTTTGTGCGGTCTATAGCCGTAATGCTGAAAACTTTTTTTTTTTTTTTTTTCCAAAACATTGGGGAAAATCTGAGCTTTAGCATGCAGTGAATCCTAGGAAAAGTGCTCTCCCAGGATTTTCTAACATCTTCCTGGGGTGTCCCTGACCACACTTACCACCCTCCTCCTGGCTGGTGCCTGTCCAGAAGCCCTGCCCTTCCCCCTGGGGCTTCTCCTGCCTCCAGCCTTGGCCTCCTGTCTTTATTTCTGAAATCACAGGTGTAGAAAAACCTGACCGACACCTTGTCCCTCCTTTTTTCCGCCCACGAGCCTGCTCTCCTGAGCCCTGGGCCTTGCTGACTTCATTCCTGCCCCCGCCTAGTAAGCAGTCAGGGCCTGAAACCCTGCCTGGCAGTCAAAGGTGGGTCTTAGCCTGGCCGCCAAGCTCATGGACCTCTCTTGCCCCGAGGGAGGGAACTCTCTTTATCTTACCTTCTCCCCTGCACCTACGGATGATTCAGGGAAATGACCCCAGCTCTGTACCTGCACCCTAGCCTCCCGCCAGCAGCTCTGCCCAGAGCCGTTTTGCTAAGAAACAATCACTGGCCCGGCAAGAGAGAAAAGAACAGAAACTGAGCCAAGGGTGGGGAAGACAAGGTTCAGCCACAGCAAAAGGCTCTGGATAGGAATTCTGCCAGGAGGACCCCAGGGCTCAGGGTCCGGGTTCAGGCCTAGAGACCTGAGAACAAAATGGACGTGAGAAAGGTAACCCTGGCTAAGACAGCTCTGGAACTGGCAGTACCTTGGGGCAGGAAGCTGGGAGGCAGATCCCAGGCAGTGTGGTATGTGGCACCCAGCCACCTTCCCGTGTCTGCAGCTCCTGCCTAGGACCCACAGCACCAGTGGGAAGAGAGGAACTCAGGTCCCTTGCAAGATCCACTGACCAGGGGTCTCCATGCTAGACAGCAGCTGCAAGTGAACCCTCTGTCTTTTTTTGTCTTTTTGTCTTGAGATAGGGTCTCTGCTATGCAGTTCAGGCTGGCCTTGAGCTCACTTTGTAGCCCCGGTTGCTCTCGAACTTGCAGCGATCCTCCTGCCTCAGCCTCCTGAGTGCTAGGATTACAGGCGTGCACTACCACATCCAGCGAAATCTTGCTGGCAGGAAGGTCTCCAGTTTTCCCTTTAGGCCACAGCATCTTTGGGCAAAGCCCTGGCAGCTGCTTTCCTTCCACATGGAGACTAGGATTCTGAGTGTGCTACAACCTCTGCCTCTCAAAGCCAATCTAGGCCACCTTCCTGGGGAGGCCTTGTCATAGATCAGGGCTCATGGCTATGTCCGTTTTGGGCCATGAGCAGTCCCAGGCAGGACATCTGTCTTCCCCATAGGAAGCATGAGGCAGACTGAACCAGGAACTATCATCATCCTAACCAGGTCTAGTCCCCACAGGAAGAGAGGCCACAGCAGCCTGGACCCTGAGAACTGGGCCCTGCCCAAGTGCTGCCCAGCTGCAGACCCTAACATGACACAGCTTTCTCAGGAGGCTTTTTGCTTATCCATGAAGGAGGTTCACTCATACCTCTCAAAACACCATGAGGCCAGAGGTCAGGTGCTGGGGCTGCATGCCTGGAGGGCGGGTATAGGCTCCAAGCCCCACCCCAAGTTTCAGCAAAGCTGAGCCCAGGAGAGCCAGGGGAGAAGGAATGGGAAATTGCCTGCTTCCTCTCCCAGCCCACCTGTTCAGGTAGAAGGAGAAGATGTTCTTTTCCACCAGCTTCTGCTCCATCAGGTTGTCAAAGACTGGCAGGACGTTGTTGACGGAGATGCGGGGGTAAGCCATGCCCAGGATGCCATCAAACTTGGCCGCGATGAAGGTGATGCCTGGCTGCTTGACAGCCTCCCCAAAGATCTGCTTCTTCACTTGAAGGCTGTCTGGGTTAGATGCGGTTGATTTACAGGGCACCTGTGGGACAGGGCAGGGGTCAATAGGCCATATATGCCAACTGTGTGTGAATACTCATCTTGTGCACAGGTGGCCCCAGCTATGAACCCCAGCTCAGCGACATCCCTCATCTTACCCAGGATGACCAGGCAGGCAGGGAAACCATGAGCCAAAGGGCTGAATACAGCCAAACACAGCACCGGACAGGGATACGGTGTGGGGGTGGGTGGTATCCTCTGCCTTCTGCCCTTGAGTTTGGGGACAAGATGCTGAGCCTGAGCCTGTAGCCTGAGAGGATAAGGAACCCGACAGCTCCCCAGCTGAGGCTGCAGAGAAGAGGTGGGCAGAGCAGGATGTGGGGTGGCTATGTGGGGCTGACAAAAGCGGGAGTGGATTGGGCAACATCCTGTTCAGTTGAGGACCCAGAAAGAAGAAAGACCCAAGGAGATGCTACAGACAGATCTCTGGGTGTGCAGGACTGAGCCCTCTTGTTCCAGTTCAAAAGCACAGGCACAAGGCACCACCAGCCACTGGAAGGGCCCTGACATCCAAAACACTCGCTCTACCTTGGACCTCAAGCAGCAGGCCCAGCTGAGACATCTGTCCGCTTCCCTGCCCTCTCCCATCCGGAGATGGCCCCGTTGCCTGCCCATCCCCCAGATCTGTGGCCTTGCCCCATACTGACTCAGGGGCGCAGTCCATGGCCTCTCAGCCTCTTCTTGCAAGATCCTCCACCTGCAGGAGACCTGACAGCTGTCCCCTGGTGGCCCGCCCCTCCCCTCTATGCTTCTCCCTAGACACCTCTCTTCTAGCGTCCTTGGAGAGGTGCTTTCTGGCACATTTCACCACTTCCAACCCCTCAGCCAGGTGCAGACACCCACTCTATACCAAGGGCCCTGGCCCAGATGCCCCCTCAGGCCTGGCCCTGGACACCTCGCTGGCTCTTTCAACTCAATGCATTCAGAATAGAATCCCATCCTCCCAGCCAGGCCCACCCCCGACACCACACCATACCACACCCAGAGAGGAAGCCTGCCTCCCATCACCCTCCCATGGGTGCTGCTGTGTCACCAAGGCATGGCCATCCTTGCCTGCCCCAGTACTGTCCCTCTACTCATCATCCTGACTTCCAGGGAACCGGGGTCTTTCCATCCTAGAGGTTCCTTGCTGCCTCTTGGTCTGCACAAGGCAGGGTCCCCACCCACCTTCCCCACAGAGCACTGGAGCCTTCCTGTCCTAGCCTTCACTTAGATGGTACCTTCTGCCTAGCAGACCTGCCCCTAGACTCTCCTCGCTTCATGGCCTGCTACGGGTTCTCAAACTTAGCAGCCCCACCCCCAGAGCTGAGGTTGGCCTGGGCCCACCACGCCCTTACCTTCAGCACCAGGTACACAGAAGGTAAATCCTTGGCCATAGCTGACACCTCCAGCCCCAGGAAAGGTCCTGGAGACTTACCGACACAGTGTCCTGGCTCAGGTACCCAGAAAGGCTACCCGAGCCATAGTGGATGTCGAAGGTTGAGCCGTTCTTCACGTAAGTGCTGGACTTGTCACTGTGGTACTTGTGGTGGAACCCTGCATGGGGGCGAGAGGGCATCAGCCTGCCAACCACCCCACCGTGGACCACCCTAACCCACCACAGGGGCTATGGTCCACCATGCCAGGGATCCCCAGACTGTGGGCTGTGACACCCGCAGCCCTGCTCTCAGACCCACAGGTGGGCCAGCTCATAGCTCACTCTGGACTGCACCAGCTCGGTCCTTAGCCCTCCTGAGAAGCAAGGCAATGGCCAGCACGAACAAGTTCACCCAGGAGTGGGGTGCCTTGGGGCAGGGCAGAGGAGCCAGCCTGTCTGATGTGGTTGAGAAGCCAAGCACACATTGCCCAAGAGGTTTCCCAAGGTAGGGACACCTATAGGTCCCAGGCCTGCCCCATCTCCCTGACAGCCCTGCCCCTGTACACCAGAAAGGCTGGACTTCCTGAAAAGAAAGCAAGCGTTCTGAAAAGTGGAGTGGACACGGCTACTTAAGGTTTCTGCCTCCCTGACCACAGGCCCCTGAGCATGGATGAGTGCACAGGGCAAGCAAGGGTCAGGGCAGTGACAGCTGGGCATCTGGAAGGGGACAGGGCCCTTGGTCTCCCCTCTGGGCACTGGGGTGGGACAGGGGGCAGCAGGAGACAGGGAAGACTCACAGCAGGCTATGTCGAGCATATTGCAGTGGGAAGAGGGGACCCACAGGTTGGAGGAGCCAGTGTCGAAGACGACCGTGAAGCACTGTGCCGGGGTTCCAATGCCGATCTCCCCGTAGTACTGAGCCTGGTAGGAGCAGTGCGCATCAGTGTGAGGAGAGGCATCCCAGCTCTCCACAGGGCTGAGAGGGACCCTGGCTGTCGCAGGCTGCAGGGACAAGGGCCCTGGAATCCACTTTCACCTGCTGCGCCTGGCAGTGGTTTGTGGCAGGGGTGGAGAGTGGAGGTCTTAAGGAAATGGCTCCAGCCCCAGAGCCCAGTCCTCAGGCTCACAGGTTCGTATGGTTTCTCTCCCCGGGACTGCGGCCTCCACCTGAAGGATGGCAGGGCCAGGCAAAGACCATACTATTCAGAAAATGAAGCCAGAGGTCTGGCCTGGCTCTTGATCTGGGCCTAAGTGCTATAATGGCTGGCCTGGTAGACCTCACCACTGCCTGGGCTCTAAGGACCAAAGAGGGGCAGACTTCCTCCCCAGGCCAGGCATGATTCTGATGGCCTCAGTTCCTATAGTCTGGGGTCAGCTGGACCCCGCTTGCCTGGCCACCCTGTTTCCTGGGGGGTGAGGTTCTGGCACTGTCCACACAAGGCCTTGGCTCTCATTCTACCAGTCATCCAACTACTTGGCCCCACAGAGCAGTGACTACAGACTCCTGACCAAGAGAAGAGGTGGGGTGACTCAGCAAATGTCTGTGTGGAAGTGTGTGCACGTGCTCTGAGGGGACTGGGACTGGCCAGTAGCCCCCAGGGGAGGTGGCTCCCCACGTTCTCCAGAGTCACATGCTGCATATCTCAAGCTTCCTGTCACAGCTAGGGCTCTGGCCAAACAGGATAGAGAGCAGGGTCACCTTCCTGCCCAGGGCAGCCATAAGCTCATACTAAGGGCTTTTGAGACTCACTCGGAAGCGGGGTCTTAGGCTACTGAAGAGATTCCGGTTTTGGCCCTGAACCTTCCCCTAGAGGTGGACAAGCCTGGCCATGCCCAGTTTGCTATACGGCTTCTAGAACATTCCAACCTGGAGCCTATTTCCATCTCAAAACATGGGCACAAGAGCAGCTGCCTACCACAAGACAGTGCGGAATGGATTACATATACAGTGTTACCCCAGGCCTCCTGCAAGACAGGCAGGAAACAGAGGCTCTAGTTACACCCAGGCAGGCACAAAGGCCCAGGTCTCACATCCCACAGCATCTGAGACAGGGTCAGGGCAGGGCTGGGATTGATCTGAGGCCCCTTTGTGCCCCACTGTCCTGAGGATTAAACCCCACTATAGCTCTGAGCTGGGGGTCAGTGCTCAGGACATACACGAGTCATCCCCAAGGTGCCAAGGCCAACCCTGAACCCTCCCTCTCAGCCCCAGCAAGGGGATCCCAGAAGGCGGAGTGAGGCTGAGGCGGGGAGGGTGTGGCCAAGCACACTGCCACCAAACAGGGATTCCAGTCAATTTCCTGACTGTGGAGCAATAAGGCAACTTTTACCTCTGGTTTACACAGCCGACACCCCACACTCACACCTTCAGTGCATCCCTGCCCCAAACTCACATCCATGTAGTTTTTCAGTTGCTCGGGAACCGGCCCCGAGGTCTTGGCGGACAACTGTGGTGAGTACTTAGTCAAAGGACCATTGGCAATCAGGTCTTCCACGGAGCCCCCCGCCTCCGTCATGGTGCGGCGAATGGACTTGAACTTGTGCAGGGGAATTCTGTCAAGATGGGGTGGGGCATGTCAGAGAGCGGCCCTAGACACTCTTTTCATCTCCCGTCCTAGGATACCCAGGTAGGGTAAGGGCAGTCCTCTAGCATGCTGAAGACCACCTGGGGACCGCCAGATGCCATCAGCTGCCTCTGAGGTAGGTCCACCTGGATATCTCTGGAAATGTCAAACTCTGCATGGCTTAAATCAAACTCCTGCCCTAAACAAAACCTGCAGACCCAATAGCCCCCAAATCATGACCCATCACCAGCAGGGGCGGCTCAGGCCAAAGTCCTGGAAGGCCCTACCCAGACTCTGCTCCTGTTCACACCCTGTACTGCACATCTAAGGTGGAGGCCCGCGTGTCCACATCTGCTGCTCCCCACCTACCCTCAGTCACTCCAAAAGCCCCACAGAAGCCCCTGCTGGTCTCTAGTCTTTGTGCACTTCTGGTCTCATCCAGGATGGTGACCAGTTGAGTCTGGCTAAGGTGTTGCCTAGCACCTGTCACCTCCACCTGACGCTCTCTGTGGCATCTACTGTACCTGGTCCTCTGGCCACATCTGCTCTCCAACCGGACTCCACACTGAGGTGGCCCCTTTAGGCCTGCAATGACAGCTGTGCCTGCCTGACTTTCCTGGTGGACTCTCCTGGCCATCACAGGAGTTTCAACACCAACCCTAAGCCCTCCACGTTGACCTCAGCAACCCTTCAAGAGCTGCTTCCCAAGCCCCATTTGCATCTATGTGCCTCACAACCAAGTACATCCTGAGAGTTTAACAACTGCCCCAGGGCACAAGAGACTTCTGAGAGTCCTCCATAGGGCCCCTGGCACTCTGGCTCAAAGCATTCCTCCAGAGGCCTGACTGTGGTGGCCTTGGGGGTGGGGTCTGACCTGTGCAGAAGGGAGCTGGTCACTGCTCAGGTAAACACTGGAGTCTACTACCATCACACAGCAGAGTGAGGGGTTCCTGCCCCACCCCTTGGGGTTGCTGGCCTCCTTAGTCTTGAGTTTGCTCCCTGGAGAGCTCCTCTGAGCTTTGTAATTGCTGAGTGAACCATCTTCCCTGCCCTAGGAATTTGAACCCAAGGTCAGTGTTATCTGTCCAAGGACAAGCTCTAAGATAGGATTCTGCTTAAGAATTGGGAGCTGGGAAACCCAGATTCTGGCCTGGGAGGGGCACACCTTCCAGGCATCTGGGATATACAAGCCATCAGTCCTCTGAGACCCAGGATTAGGTGTGAGGGGCTTCCACTCTTCTGCCCCGCCAGGAGGAAGCACGGGATTCTCCTCCCCACTGTTATCTCCCTGGAGGGGAGGCCTGAGGGTGGAGCGGGCCAGACTGGAGCTCACTCAGGCCTGTGCTGCATCCTTCAATGGCTCCAATTGAGGCTACCCGCCTCCAGGCTGCAGCCCACGGCCTTTGGCAAAACTCAGTCCTTCCCAGCTCCCTGCCCCCAGCCCGCCCAGCAAGCTCCCAGGTCCTGACAGCCCTATGACCTCACCCACCCACCTGCTATAGGCACAGGGCCCAGCAAAGTGGAAGGCGGCAGATGCCTCCCCCAAAGGCCCACCTAGCACAAGAGGCAGATCCCTAGACCTGAGGAGGGCTTGCCCACCCTGGGCCGCCTCCTTTTCTCTGAGACTTGTGGGATTGTAGGCTTGGGACCCAGGGGCCTCTTCACCCAGGGCCTATGGAAAGATGTCTGGAAAAAACTGGAGGATGATGCTCCAGTTCACAGCTAGCAAAGGTGGTCCCCAAGAGGAAAGTGTCTTGTCCGTATTGTGGAGGCTCCAAGACCTACTCTCCTGTCTCCTCATCCTCCCCAGTCCCTGAGTACAGACACTCTAGTCTTCCTATTGTGAATGCGCACTGACCCTGGGAACCTGGGTCAAGCCTGAGGCCTGGCCACCCTCCTGCCTTCTCCCGGCCCTCAAGGCCGAGCCTAGGTGGTGCAGGCGGAGGACTGAACCCAGCAGTTCAAGCTCAGGCGCCCGTGGAGAGTGGGCGCTGCAAGACGTCGCGCAGGGTACAGGTGTTTGCATTCGGCACGGGGGACAGGGAG